TGTCAGCCTCTGGCCTCCAAGGGCAGCAGTCTGTGCTCTCCCTTTCTTTTAAACAGTAGAAAGCTTCTTTTTCCACTTTTTTTTTTTTTTTTTTTTGCAGTTTTTTGGCCGGGGCTGGGTTTGAAGCTGCCACCTATGGCATATGGGGCCGGCGCCCTACTCCTTGGAACCAGGGGCGCCGCCCCGGGCTCTCCCCTTTTTATGTTAAAGGGAAAAGGGACACTATGGGAGAGGCAGGACATTCCAAGTGTGTGCATGTGACTGGCATTTGTAGGAGTGACACAGGTAGGACTGAGATCCAGTACCCAAGACACAGACAATATTCATACCTCATCTCCAGAATGGTTTGCTGCCATTGGATCCTCACGTGGCGGGTCCTGAGATGCCACCAAGGCCACAGTCAGTGCTGGATTCGAGTGCAGATGTGGGTGCTCCTGTTGAGGGAGTTGATCTTGAAGTGTCCTCTTCCCTCCAGGCTCCTGAGTGTGCTCTATGTGAGGGGAGTACGCTTCTTTTAGCTCATATTCACTGCTGCTGTCTGCACAAGGCAGGGTGTCAGGTGCAGTGGAGAAGCACAGATGACCACTTCCATCTGGAAGTGAGTGCAGGGGGAGCTGCTGGTACGCCTGGCTGTGAGGTGTAAGTGGTACCAGCTGGGTTCACCTTCGGGCAGGTCACCTGTAGTCAACTTGTTTGAGATCTACAAACAGGGACAGATCTGGGGATCAAAGCATTAGTCCAGGGGTCCTCAAACTACGGCCGGTGGGCCACATGCAGCCCGCCTAGGACATTTATCTAGCCTGCTGGGTGTTTTTACCGCTGCTGCCTGTCCTGCTTAGCAGCCGACTTGTCCTGGGGCCCGCAGTCTGGCCCTCCAGTGGTCTGAGGGACAGTGAACTGGCCCCCTGTTTAAACAGTTTGAGGACCCCTGTGTTAGTCCATCAGGTCATTCAATGTTTTCTTTCCCCTCCACTCAAGAGAGCTGCTATCTCAGCTGGTTCTCATCAGCTCTGGTTCTGGCTAGGCTGAGTGGCCTTGGGGATTATACAAGAGTTAGTGGGAGGAGAGAGCAGGGGAGGACAGCTGAGGGCTGCAGCCTGTGGCCTGCCCGAGCCTGGCTCTTTGGGTACATGGAATCCTGGATCTCCTTGAACCTTTAGAAATTATCTGGGCACTTTGTCCTGGTAGAATCATGCACAGGGCACTCGAGTGCCATCTGGCTTGGTTGGCTGTAGCAGTGCTATAGGTGAGTTAGGTTGGGGCACAGTGAGATTGGACTCAGGTACCAGTGGAGAGGTGTGGCATTTCTGCTTATGGGGAATAATTCAGCCTGGCCCGGCCTTCCTTTTGCTGGCCCACAGCCCTTCTCCACTTTCATTCTGGTTTTGCTGAGTCACTGGGTGAGATCTGGGCTCCCTTGCAGGCTACACTGGCCTGTTCTGAGCCCCTTTGTACTGCTGGAGGTCCCTCCCCTGTGTGGCAAAGCCAGGCAAGCAAGATTCTCCCTGTGACAAAGGAGAATGTGCAGACAGGGACCTCCTCTAGGAGAATGGGAGGAGGAGAATTGGGCAGAAAGCCCAGAGCTGCAAAGGGGAAGAGGCAGGCTGTGATCAGTATTGTTCCATGTAGTAGCTGTGTTCAGGTGAGGAAGTTGCTGAACCTCTGTGTACCTTCTGGGGAATTGTGATATTAGAACTGATCTTGCAGGGTAGTTGCCAGATTTCCTGAGCATACATTGTAGTAACTAGGGGATTTTATAGCACTGAGCTATAATGTCTCTATCAGTGGTAGCTCTTATTTAGGTACCGATGCCATTAGTTATAGGAGTCTGGAAGAGTGTAGGTAGCAGAGCCAGGACCCTGGGAGACCGGCAATGGTCTTGCACTTGAGCCCGCGAAGGAAGGTTGTGGGCCCTGCAGTGCTGCGCCTGCCATGGGGCTGCTGCAGCCATCATGGGCAGCAGACCCTGAGCTCTGGCCTTATTTTTTCCCCCCTCAGGGCCTGAAGAAGATCTCTGCCTACATGAAGCGTGGCCAATTTGTCCAAGGCCCCTTGTTTGGAAAGATGGCAATGTGGGTCGGCAAAAGATAGGGTTCTGTGATACCAGGAGATGGGCGATGGAGCCAGCACTGTGCCTGCCGCCTGAGGCCCTGGAGAATAGCCAGATTCCCTTCACTGCCTGGCACCAGCCTTTTTGTTCCTTTATGTTTCTTTCTTCTCTTTTCTCCTCCTCAAGGCCTTATTGGCACCCTTTTTCTAATCTGACCTTTCCTCATGCAGGCTTCACCTCTACACTTTCCTTCCTCAAAGTCTCCCTTATAACATCACCTGTTCCTGTCCTAATGCCAGCCTAACCATCTTTCCCATCAGTGCTTGTCTGTGCTTTCAGAAGCCCGAATGGACCCCAAGTTTCTCAGCATTGCCCTGAAAGGTCAGGACTCCCTGGTGTGCAGGCCCTGCCCCTTGGCTGGATCTTGGTCTGATGCCTAATAAAGCCTAAACACAC